TAGCTTTCGGAAAAACTGCATCATGATGCCCCCTAACTGGAATAGACCCCTAGAATATTTCATTACTTTGATATTTCTCACATAGAATAATCAAATTTACGCAAAAATGCCCTGCCCCTGAAATGCGGTTATAGAGGTCTTTTATCACAGGGTAATCAGAAGTACCATTTTTAAATGTGTATTCCACTCCTTTCCTGATACTTTGTTTGCTTTAATTACTTAACTAGAGTAGCTGAGCTTCCTATCTTCCTAGCTTCTTATTTTAGATCTCCATCACCTGATCCGAACGCTATGCAAATCGATGACGATCTAAACAGTCCAGAAGATTCACTGAGGATTGCTGATGATTAAAATGTTTCGCCAAACTTTGGAAAGCTACTTTGGTTATTGAACAAACTGCCAGCTACGTTACAAATGAAATGCGATGTTGTATTTTCACGGGCCGTATGCTGCAAACTGTCCGGGATGGGGATATTTCTCAGGTCGGGACTTGCTGCGTACGGCCCAAAACTCAGTATCGAGAAATTTCTGTCCCATTCAGTCCAAATGCCCGTCGTATCTTTTCGTGGATCGTGTGCGTGAGAGGACTCACAAATGGTCATTGCTAAAGATACAGCGGTTGTATTGGTCATCCTTCCTCTAGTCCATTTTTGGCAACATGAACCCAAACTCCGGAACTCTTATGACTCATCTCATTATTGTTGTGCACTTTTTGCGGGTTATTACTCTTTCTTTGCCTGATTGTTCTTTTGTAATTCTCACCAGAATTCCATCTATTATAACAAAATGCACTAATATTAACACTGCGAAACTTGTGAAGTTGTTAATTTATTTCATGTAAATCATAAATGCTATTGTCTGTGCTTCATCAATCAAGCGAACTGCACCAACCGTGAATTGCCGTTGAGTATCCAGCCGAGATTTATGAACCATGCGTCAGTAAATAAGCATTCTGTTAGCACCTACCCCGCCTATTAGTTCGCCTCCTCAATCTTAGCCCGAAAAAACCTAGTTTGCAAATTAGTAGTTTGGGTAGCCACACCCTTTCAACCCCTTTCATTGCTGTGGATCGTGACGGGGTGAGGTTCACTAGGCAGAAAGCGCAGCGCGAAACATTGTTCGCTGCATGAACCTCAATACACCGCTGATCACCAGTAGACCAAAGGTTCCCGCAGCGAACAATGTTTCTCGGTGCGAAACGCGAAAAAGTCGCTTTCTGTCCTAGTGAACCACACCCATCGTGACGACGGAATATTTCCCTGCTAGATGCTTCCGATGGCGTCGTCTAAGAGAATCAGATTAACCGATCGATGGTTCCTACCGAATGCCATAACCTGTCCTCACGTTTCCCAGGCTCTGTATGTGTTATCTTACGCTGGAGGTCGATGGGTCCCTGCCATGGCGAGTGAGTCCGTAACGGAAACAACGAAACGCAAATGTAATTTCAATTGAAAATACCATTTCACCCTTGGTCAGGGTTTGGTACCTATGTTTCAACGGGTTGTATTTCATAGAACGTCGTTGCAACGATACGAACTATAATGGACTGACCCCCTGGTGTCTCCTGCAGTCATAATGAAAAAATAACACCATCTTGAAAGCCACATGCATGTTTCAAACATAGTTACTCCAACTCTTTATTATATAGCGGAAGTAGCTTTTCGACAAAAACATCTTGGTTAAATACAAAAAATAACAATTAACTCAACAACTCAAATGATATGGCGTTGAAGTCGCTGAACAAAGACATTTCGTACCCAAACTTCTCTGAGATCGTTACAAACACCGTAGACATATATCAAAAGATAATACAAGTCCTCATACAATTTACAACCTATTTTTGGTTTTCCTTATGCGTATAAAAAACTTTACGTAACTAGCGACCTCAATAGAAAAAAAATTATAGTTGAAAAAACAAGTTTTTTGTACTACACTGATTAGCTAAAGATAGTCTCCGATAGCGGATTTACTTGTTAGAACTGCGTGCGCGCAGTACACGAGTCGACGGAGATACCCTTATCTTCGGCTTCTTTATTTTTAGCACGTTTTCTTCTTTATTGTCTCGGGAATTACAGGCACGGAATCCAAGTCGGTCGCTGTCTTCGTATCATCACGCTAAAAAAGGACATGCAGGGTAAGAACGAGGCAACATGCAGTGAATTAAACTAAAACTCGTGAAGTTCAACTTTTTACACCACGCATTTTGAGAGCTCTAATGGCTTATTGCACTATATCACGATAATAATCATCATGGACTCTCGATATGCGTAACTAGTTAACGAACTTTCCTTTCTCTTCTAAAACGATTTTTCATATATAATTGTTTCAGTGGCCTTCCGCACCATAAAATGGGTATTCAGCAGGAGTGTTGCTCACATACGTTTTCGATGGCTGATCGATGGCTTATCCATCGCCAGCCGGCTACTGACGTTAAGCGACAGTTCAGGACACTAATAGCGTGGAACGCTAACCCTAGTCAAGAGCATACAAGAAGTGTGCATTGAACAAAAACTCACCTTGGAAAGCCGCTGGAAAGGGAGCTGAACGGCTTCGAAGTGGGCGTGTTGGAAGTCGGCCGAGGGGATTGCAGCCGACTGAGCAACCACGCCCACTTCGAAGCCGTTCAGCTCCCTTTCTAGCGGCTTTCCAAGGTGAGTTTTTTGTTCAGTCACACTTTTTATGCTCTTGACTAGGGCTAGCGCATCATTCCACGTCATCATTAGTGTCGAAGGTTGGGACTGTTGCTTTAAGTGACCTGTACCCTTGTCTGCTGCTTTGTTTTCCTGTTATTTCTGTCTATCATAATTTTGCGGATCTGCAAAAACGAGTTCGGCAATGCCTCCAACAGTTCATGTGAAGAGCAACCACCTTTTCATGAACTTTAGACCACATATAATGATGATGAGTCTTGATGATCGACTTTTAGCTGCAAATAAAACTAACTCAACATAAACTATGTTCCTGTGTTTATGAATTTTGCTGAATTAATGATACTAAGATGAAAACATCATTACCTTCTAGCTACCATCGAAAACCAAAAAAAAATCAAATTGAAATCACAGTTCTTTGATATATAGAGATCCATCTTTATTATACTATTATTATAATTACTATACTAACAAACAAAATGTTACTGAGTTTTCTTGACCTTTGGACTGATTAATGGCTCGCGCTGATAAGCCCAGTCGTCCGAATCCGGTGATGTTTGAACTGTTTCAGTGTTGCGTTCCTCTGATAACGGCTGATATTCGCGTATAACACGGCGACGTACCTGACAGTAATGAAATAATGAAATCATTATAAGCCGTCAACAACTCGACAAACCTTGACTGGATCCATCGGAGTAGAACCAGAGCACGCAGCCATTTCGTAGAAGAAGAAACCGAACAGGATACAACATCCCCTAATTCAGAATACTCCTTCATTCAACATAATGTTTAAAGCCAAACACTCACCAGATCACAGTTATGTACTCAGCTCGGTTCTCAAAATCTGTTCCACATAGTGCATAATATTCCAGAGGAAGCAATCTTCCCGAACCATCATCTTGCTGAAAGATAGGAAACGAAGTATTGATGTAACATCCCTCTGGGAGAAATAGTGTAGTGTACCTGTTTGGGAATACCATTTGGAACGCAATGAAAGTCGAAGTACTTCTCATCGTATCTTGTGGCACAGAGATACTTTTCTCGCTGCAGAACCTGGAAGACAGAATCCAACTCTTGTATTAAGGTTCGTCCCATAATTAGTGAATCACTTTACATTTATCGTTATTGAAAATCCAAGAAAATTGGTGAAGGCGTTGAACACATGTTTTGCGAAGTAGCATCCACATTATCCTACCTGAGCGATTACTCGGCCCACATGCTGCCTTCCGTGGCTGACATTTCAATTATGGCGAACCTATTTTGAGCTCCTAGCTGAATCACGTGATTAAGATCTTCAACGCCCAACAATATAGAGAATCGACCAGCAGATAGGCGAAGGGCACGCTCCCTCACTCCACGGTCTGCTTATAGTTCACTCTATCGAGAGGTTGGCTTTTTTAGTTGAAGATGACCCACACTCCAACTACCCCTCAACTGGCAATCTCAGTGCTATACCCAGCGCCACTAAGCGTGAATATGGACGAACTAGCCGCCTTTTGCTAGAGCATGCCCGACTTGTTAAAATAATGGAATGTAGACATCTACGTAGAGTTGTAACGATTTTAAAATATTTAATTTGTATCTCGTGTGCTTTGAGCTCGAAACAGCTCCGCACACGATCTGACATCGTCATGTTCCTTCTGATCTCCCTTAGTTCCTTACAGTGATCATCCAGCTTATTCACCAGGGTTCTGGACTGCGTGAAGTGTACTAGCAAATCTCCGAGGAGCAGTAGCCCAGCGTGAACGATTCGGGAGTTCTGATAGCAAAAGCCAAACCTCATTCTAGTCCGACCCTTCAGAGATATTGGTGGAGCACGAGAGTGACCATGCGCTGGGAACCGCCGCCTAGTAATACTAGAGTCACTGAAGAAGATCAACATCTACAGCGTAATGGCGGCGCATTCAATTTGAAAGTAAAGCAAGACAAAGTCTGCTTTTTTCCTGAGGTCGTTCGACCCACCTTGCGGAGAATATTCATAAAAAATTAGAGACTCTCAAGCTAGCCGATCTTCCACTTCCTCTGTGTGGCCCTATCCTCGTGCCAACAAGAGGCAACTCAGTTTGACCTCTAGCGCTCTTCCCCAGGGAGGAATTTTACGCTAAGTGACATGACCTCAAACTCGACTTCCGATCTTTCTTCGATCAATAGCTCCTGGATTTCTAGAGATAAGACAGCGACAAAATTTCCCTGTATAGGCAATACATTGTAGATGACAGGGATGTATGTTTGGATGAGCAGAGACTCCATATGAAAAAGAAAAAAATTCGAATTCAAAAATACCCAAAGTGATTCACTAATTATGGGACAACCTAAATAGTTTTGAACTGTTCAACTGATAAGTTCTGAGACGACATTTGGAAACAATAACGAAAACCGGGAGGACTTGCAGAGGCTAATGCTTCAAGGAAACTTGTGCGGGTAACTTTATTTTCAAACGGAAGAATCTACACATAGACTGCATTTCATTGAAGCGTTTCGCTGTAACAGCATCATCCCACGTATCGTTTGAAATGGTGCGAAAACAGCTGCGGTAGGTTCAAATACGCGGGATAGAACTGTATTCTAGTCGCGAAATACAGTTATTTTTGAAACCATCTGTTTAGACCTATGCCCAAACACCTTTCCATAACCCATAACTCGTTATCTCTCGTTGCCTTTCTGAGGCGACCCCTCTAACAAAAAAAAACATTATGGGAAGAGATGCTCAATCATTATTGCTGAACTTCAATCACTGAAGTTCCAGAAATCAACAAATTCAAAGGCTAGCAGTACTTACAAGACCGGCAGGAGTGTTTACATCTTCCATTTGTTTGCACGGACCAATAGGTTGATGGATACCCTGTAACAGCGTCCATAAAAGGGCATAGTAAAAAATAAGTGGAGTAAAAGGTGTACCTCGCTGACTATGTTCGAAGGATCACAAACAGCAACAAGAACCATGAGAAAAATGTATTCCAAGCAAATGGCACAGGACAATTCGTCAAACCAGAAGCGAGATGCTGAGAAAATGATCAACATGACTGCAGTTTTGAATTCCATTTATTGACAAGGATTTTCAATTTCAAAATTTTCGAGGAACTTTGCTGAATAGAACGCATGGAATTTCATTAGAACTAAAAACTGACAAACCTCTCCTTGCTTCTGCGTCACTGTTTTTCCTATCTGCAGCGAAAACTATCGCAGCATATATGGAAAAGAAGAGAACGGTGGTGATTTCGGCATGTATCTGAGAATACAAAAATCCAACAGATTAGCTAATGATATTGAAGGACAAAATGTGGCAGGAAACGCTCACCCCGAAGAAATCATGAAGTGGATAATAGAAAAAGGAGGATTGTAAGGTTCCCAACCAAAAGGCAAGCATGCCGGCAAGAACAGAGCAGATTATCTCTCTAGGAAACCTTAAAGAATACTATCACAATAAGGCCGGTTCAAGACAAAATTTCACAAAAACTAACTTCCTCCAGTCGTATTCCTTTTCTAACAGCAATCGCCTGGACAAGCGTATGATCCATACAAAAGAGCACATACAGGCCGCGTAAAAGTAGAACAAGCTCCACGGTGTCCAAAACATCCTAAATGCAGCAATTGACCACGAGTGCTGTGAAAACACCTTTGAATACATACCTGTCCTTGATGGTTGGATCGGTATCGTGCCATGTCCACCACAGCAGCTTTGTTCCCAGAATACGATACGGAATAAGCAACATCGCGCTACTAAGACCGACTGCTGGACCTTCCGCCCACAAAGGAAGGCGCATTCTGCAACACATTCTCTTGAACGGTCAACTTGTAACCAGACACCACTACAGGTCAATCAAATCTTCGTGAATCACTGTAGAGGTCGGACTCTCACTCAATTGCTGATTAATGCCCTAGACCAGTCGCAAAATGCAGACTCTAGCGGGATAAACTTAGACAATATTTTAGGTTCATTTGATCGATAAACACAGTGAAT